TAAGTTTATATAATATAAAGTTAAGTAAAATCTGTTTTTTAAAATATACTAGGTTAGTTAGTTATAATCTTTTTATTAGTGTATATATTTTTTATATTTTTTTTAAAAAAATGTATACTTAATATAAGTATAGTTTTATATTAATTTATATATAGTTTACTTTAGTATATGTTATATAAAATATATTTAAATTATAGTTAGCTATATTTATTCTATATTTTTAGCTATATTAGTATGTTAAGGATTAGCATTAGCTATATTAGTGTGTTAGAGATTAGCATTAGCTATGCTTAGTTACAGGCTATAATTAGTTACATGCTATAGTTAAATATTATTATTATATGTCTATTACCTATCTAATAATAATTTGCTAAGCATTATGCTACAACTATATAACAGCGCAGGCAAGACAATAGGTCTAAATGCAGTAGGAATCTAGTTAGAGGCATATAGAAGTGCGTGGGGACTTAGAACCTAGGAATGCTATTAACACCTATACGCCTTATATAAAAAATATTAGAAAACTACTAAGCTAGCTAAAAAAAAAAAGGTGTAACTAAATATTTAAAAAAATAAAAGTAACTATAAAAGATAAAGTTAAGTTATAGTTAAAGCTAATATAAAAACTTATTAGATAAGTTCTAAGCAACTTAAGATAAAATAATTTATAAAAATTATTATAAACTATTCTTTAACCTAAATAACTTACTATAAAGATAGAATAGTAAGTAACATAAATAGCACTAAAAGTAAGCGTTTAAAGATAGAAGTGTATTATAAGAGGGATAAATTGCTACTAGGCCTTACTTGTTAGAATTTATGCTTATATACAAAGTACAGGTCATGTGACCTCTAAACAGGTTAGGGGAGGCCATACTAGCCCGCTCTAGGACATCCGGCCTTACACCTACCTTAATGTGCTAACTATTGCTCTAAGCAAGCTTTGCTTTTACAGATCATTTATAAACTGTTGTAGTATTTTATATTTCTAATAACACTACTTAAACATGTTAAAGAAACATTAAATGTAGCTTACACTTTAAGCTTTTAAATAAAATATAACACTTTTTAAGCAACACACTGCAGCTATCTATAGGGTTTTTTAAAAAATAATAAGTAACTAACACGCTAGATAACTTTTCTAAGCTAATTATATAGCTAACTTATAAAAGCTAGATAATAATAAAAAGTAGGTAATTATTTAGCACATACTTAAGCTAAATACACAAGGATTTCCCCCCTAGCTAGTTGCTATAGCTAATATAGCTAATTTTTTACACGCTAAGTGTAATATAAGCTATATTAGTATAAACTAGCTTAATATATTTATTAAGTATTACTTAAAGCTTAAAGTAAAGTTTAAGTGTAAGTATAACTATAAAAAAGCCTTTTATAAAAATTTTATAGTAATTTAAAGCTAGTTTAACTTTATAAAAAATATTAAAGCTAAGTATAGCATCTAAAATAACAACATGTACAACTTTAATAAAATAGAGTTTATAATAAGCTAGATATCTACTAGAGCAGTTATTATAAGTTTAAAAAAATAAGAATAGCTAAAAGCAGTCTAGCTAGGTAACTAGAAGTAGACAATAGCTATCTAGGGCATTAATGCTAAAAAGTAGGCTATTCTGCTTTTTATTATTTTTTAGAGTAGTAACTACTTTTTAAACTAGTATAAAAAGAAAAATCTACTTTAAAATTAAGTTATTATAATCTCTAAGCGCAGCTAGACTACTAATTAGCTTAGTCTAGACTAGTTAAAGCACTTTAATATGTATATAAAGAAGTGTACTATTAGCAGCTACTGTCTACTAGTTATTAATAGCTATAAAAGCTATAACTTACTTTATTTTTAGTAATAGTATAAAAATAATAAGATTATTATTATTTATATACTTTTTTACTTATTACACTTTTTATAGCTACTTAATGTAAGTTATTTTACTTTTTTAAAAAAGGTGTATAAGCGCTAAGCTAAAAACCTTATACACAACTAAATTACTTATATTATAAAAATAAAGTTTCTACTATACTTTAAAGCAGCCTATAATAGTATAATTACTTTTAGTAATATTTAAAAAAGTGTTTAAAACGCTAGATTAGTTTCTTTTAACTTATAATAAGTTATAATAAGCTTTAATATAAAGTTGTGCACTTTATTACTACTACTACTTATATATAATAAGCTCTAGCAGTTATAAACTCTAAGTAATACTTTAAAACTTAGGTTATAATTAATGCTTATAAAAATAAAAATTTAAAAGTATATAAATAGTTTACTAACTTTTATAGTTAAAGTGTTTAAAAAAGTTTTAAAAAAGGCAGCAATAATTATGTATAAGCTAGTGTTAGGGTAATAGAAAATTACTAAGCTTTAAGCAGCTAATAAAGCTGCTATGTAATATAAATTATATAAAAAAAGTAAATTAAAGTAAAAAGAACTTTAATAATTTAAAAAAGCTTACACTTAATAGCTCTAAAGAAGTTTAGAGCGCGCAGTAACAGAAAAAAGGCAAAAAAGTAGGTGTAAGCTAAAGTAGGTAAGCTATTCTAAAGGCGCTGCAGATAGTGCAATTAGACTAGGCATAACACATAAATGTGTAAGTAAAAAGTAAAAGTAGTATCTAAATAATATTCTAGGCTGTACTATACTATATAGTGCTAGAGCGGGTTGTTATAGGCTATAATAGAGTTTGTTAGGGTAGGGTCTTAGCAAAAGTAAGCAACTTAGGTTTGTAAGCAACTCGCCTGTGAAGTACGTTAAAGTTTTATAAATAACTTAAGTAATAAATTTTTTAGTATAAGGACTTTAAAGATACTAAAGCTAATGCGCTATTACTATAACAGCGCTTTAATAATAAGAAGTAGATATTAAGAAGAAGTAAAAATATAGCCTATATTTAAAGCAATGCTTTTTCTAATAGTAGTTTTAAAAATTAACTAAGCAGTCGCTTTTATAGCTTTTAATATAACTATCTTATAGTTATACTTTTATAAGCTTTGTCTATTGTCTCTACAACTACAACTACTCTATTTTCGCTACATTAATTCAACCTTCTCTGCCTAACATAGCACTAGTGCACAGAAGCATCTTAGTTACTTCTAACATCACAGCCTTGTAATACACTTAAAGAGTTTTTCTAAAAGCGTTTTATATTTTTATAGTAGAGGTATTCTTTGTTTTTAAAGAGGGTTTTTTTTTCTTTAGTCGTGTATTTCTACTGTTATTTTCTTTAATTATGCTTTCTTAAGTATATTTTTACTTTACTGAAGTCTCTTAAGCGTTTTAAGTTTTCTATTAGTTTCTTTAGTGTTTATTTTCAAGTTCAAGCGGGGCAGTTAGGTCAGCGTTGTCAGCGGGACCTCGAACACGAACAGTTACCACTACATCACCGCAGCACAGGCCGCTCCACGCTGACCTGGCTCAATACCTCTACCTCAGCACCGCAGAGAATTCTGAGACCCATGTGTGCATAATTCGCAGCGTGAATAGAACGGATGAGAATTCCCCATCACCACGCCATGAGGCAGAGAATGAGGCATTGCGTGGCCCGTAACATTGGTTCACGTGCGACAAATTGAACTATTCTTCATTCTTAATCTGCAAAGTAGGTGGATTTCGATAGAACTATGTCTGAACTCCTTCGATATACTTCTGATGCGCCTGAAGAGGTGCCATTCACGGTCGTTTTCGTCTGGAGCGCACCTCGGAGAGACAGGCGACCGAAGCCACTAAGTCGCCACCTCTCGGTCCATTAGATGATGAAGGACCACCGACGATATGACCACAAACTCCACCTTCAAGACTAATTACCCTTCAAGCCATGGCATCTTACCGGCATCTTACCGTAGTCGCACAGCAAAGGCCTCGGCTGCCCTGGGTTTCTTGCGGTGAAAAATACTTCTTTAAATTCAACGGTGCCCCAGCGATGACCCCGGCCTGCCATTATTAGAGGCTGCCTATGATGTAACCGGGTGTGCGCTGGAGCTAGGATAAACAGCGCGCGGATCATAGGCATCTGACCGCAACCTTCAGGAAGGCATTCCTTCGCCTGACGTGTCGATTCACACCTGCACACCCCTAGGCATCACAAATTATGGCATACGTCTCCCCCGCTACTCATTTCATCTTTAAAGCGCGCGCGATCCGAAAACCCCGAGACCGGCCGTACAACGTATTAGATACACCTGCGGCTCCTGGCCTTGGTCCTTCTCATCTCCGCCCGCTACCCTTTCGAATTCTCACCCCGTCCGGCATCGAGTCGCCTGGGTTCACCCTCAGTTGCAGGCACTCTTAAACAGACCGGCTTCTGTATTGGGGGAAATAAGGCGGCAGTTGCCGCAACTTCCGTTTGTTCTACCAGAGACAGTGCAACTATGAGCTTCCAACGTGCGATGTCGCCCACAAAACATGGAGTGAGTCTTCACTTGAATCGGTTCGGGTAAAATCTTACCCACCATAATCTGATGGCGCATGACCATACTCTCATAGTCTCGGCCCCGCTGATTGCACAGCATGTGGTGTGGCGAACGATTTTTCGTGGAAACTTGTGTACGACTATGGGGCTAGAAACCTTGGTGCTGTGTCCTCATCTCATGTCCTATTTTAGTTGCTTTAGTGACGAATGGCGCAATTGAATAATCCCAGGTTTAGCTAGGAACTGGTCGACTTTCTAGCGTCAACACGTCTTAGGTGCTCGAGTGATATCCAAGATCCCAACGAGTGATTGAGGTTTAGGAGACTGCCGTCGATCCCGGCGGTGTAACGTTTTCCTGTCTGCACAGCGTGTGAGTTCCTTATCTGGTAAATTACGGTCCGTGTCGTACAGACCCACACCTGCGCGCTCCGTGTAGTACGAGGTGCTCCTAGCTAGCTCTCGTGGTTCGTCACCATTCCAATACTTGATCTCAGCTCGCCTCTCTTCTTGATCGGTAGATATGTACAACTTTTGGTCTCGCTATAAGAAGATCGTCGTTCTACATTTCGTTTGCGGCTTTAGTCAAGGTTGTTTCTTATAAATGGCGGCCAATTCTACTTTAGCAAGAGCACTTCCAGCTTGGACACCTCCACCTTTCCTCCATAACCCTAACTGCGATTATGCAGCGGCATGGCTAGCAACTCCTAATGACACAATAGAGTCTGTTGTCACGGTCATGAATGACATGTGTAACACCACGGGATTACCCGATCCAACGGATTCTCAATGGATCCAGTGGTACCTCTCGGATATATCGGATATAAAAGTGGACGAGCTTTTTAATTATACTATTGAGAATTGCACCAAGTCGCTCTGCCGTGAGTTTAAGTGGGAAGGGAACTCTGACCTTGCCGGAAGAGGCGTGAGTATCTTGAAATGGGCAAAACTACAAAGGGGTTTATCTAACTTTCCGGTATAGATGATGGTGACATACTGGCTGGAAGGAGCGCTTGCCTGCGTCTACGCTATGTTCTTATACGCGGAGCGGACGGCGCGCTTCAGGAAATGGACGACTGCGCCACCAATTCTGCTGGATCTGAGCACTGCGGTTATTGACTCTTCTGCAGAATTCTTGAGTAGCATGCTTCTGTTCTGCCTAGCGATGCTCGTGGCAGCATTACACGGCTACGCGACTGCGCTAACCACAAAAGACGGAATTACAGAAGCCGAGAGGATTGGTTTGGTCTTCATGGCTGTATTCACTATCCTCCCTCCGATTCTAGTTCAGTGCTTGATAGGCCCCCTGCGGAGGAAAAGGTTACGAATCGGATTATGGGTCCTCATCTGTCTTCTGGCTACGTCCGTCCGAGTTTTAGCTGCGGTTACTCCATCACTGGAGATAAGTGAATTAAAATATGGCAAAGGAGATATACAAAAGCAGAATTATGAAGATCTGTGCGCACCCCAAGCCATCTACTTGTGGCGCGCATTGAAAGGATTCGAGATAATCGCGCCGGTTGCGCTTGCTTTCTCGGCCGTAACGAGGATGCCGTGGCTTCAACATTTTGAGATTTTCGACGTGTACCGGTCTCTCAGGTGGAAGCTTCCCGCTGCCCTCAGCTTTGGTGGCATATGGGTGTTCCTGGCTATTTTTTCCGCGTATAGACAGGAACAGGGACAGGTGAGCGGGGCTTCAAACAAAGAACGGGCATGGGGATTCGGTCAAGTCCTCGCTCTAGCCACATGGGCACCTGCTATTGTGGATTTTGTGTATATTTTCCTCTGTAAGTGTTTCATCAACTTACGGGGCGAATGCACCGCTAACATATCATTTGACAGTCGGGTCGGAAAGGGGGCTGCAAGGACGAATGCCCGAAAATTTCAAGGTCGTTAAGATCGTAGAAGGGGCTGAGGACACTACGGTGTCGCTTTTAGTTACAAATTCTGATTAATTAACCTTTCGTCTAGTGCCAAAACAGCTTCATGGTATTGCTCTCTATGGAGGGGAACTAGGCAATACACTAGCCACCGTGTCAGGGTGCTTTTTCCCCGGCGCGTTCTCCCCTCTCTCCAGTCCCTTTCGGCGAAACCGCTCCGCCGCCTCGCAATCCCTCCAATATTGTAACACCAACGCTAAAATTGCGAACGTTAGTCAACGTTTCTATATGGTCGTTCCCATGCGCCTCCTCTCTACCCTCGAGCGATCGCCTATTCATTCCTTTTACCCCCTGTAGCTCTTTTGAAGCTGCACCACCAACGCCAGGTAGCTAAGCTGACCACTGTATCTGGATACTTTGCCCAAAGCACTTTCTCATACGTGTCTAGCGCTCGCTAGTTCATGTCCTTTCCCAACCTACCTCCCCTAATTCCGTAGGACTGACGCTAGGTTGCCCCTGGTAGCTAGTGTATCTAGATACGCGTCTCCTACCGTATCCGCTCTGGTGTTCGGCACTCGCTGAATCTTTTTCTCTGTCGACTCGCATTTGCCCCAATCCCATAGCGCTCCCGCCAGATTTTGGGCGCTATTCAGCGTCTCTGGGGGGTTCTTCCCAGGTGCCATCTTCCCCCCTTCCAATGCTCACCGGTTCGTCTACTCTGCCGCGTTGTATGTCCCTTGAAGCTGCTGCACAGACTCTTGCATGAGCTGAGAAGGAGTCATATGGTAAGCGAATCAACAAGGTACTGAGATCCAAACAAAGTGGATTGCACGAGTGTATTGTAAGGTCTGAGGAGCTCGATAGAGCTCTGGGCTGATTATATACTATACGAGAAAGGAGCTATGCCTAATGAGTGAAGAGTGCAGTACATGGGTATGATATCGCGTGAGACACGTGCGACATAGACGTCAGGCTGCTAACAATCGCCAGTGTGTTAGGCAGCGTGGCCAACAGTACGTAGTACGTTACGTTTAAGCTTTTTTCTGCTAGTAACTTCTTAATTTAGTAGTACTTTTATACATAAGCAGTAAATTAATTAGCAAGTACATAACATAATAGTAACTTCTTAAAATCCTTATACTTTTGTACTTTTTATAAGAAGTTTTGTTAGTCTAGGTTAAAATTGTTCTAAGAGAAGCCTTTTAGCCTAGATAAAGTCCTCTAGAGTAGTTAATTTACTCTTTATAGCCCTATAATGTAACTAGTTCTTTTAGAGCTGTAAAGCCTTAATTATACAACCTACTAAGTAGTTTCTATTAATTATAACTATTCTTCTACTTTTAAAAAAAGCTCTCTTATAGTTACAACTTGTTAAAAGTATACAAAGAAAATTAAAAGTAATTTTAAAAAGTGTAAAGTAGGAGTAATAACTAACTTTAAGCTACTAAGTAAGAAGTAATTAGAATAGTAGAGATCTCTTTTTAGCTATAAAAAGGTCTTTAATGTAGCTATTATAGTATTATTACAGCTTTATTATTTTCTACTATTTTTTATATAACCTTAACCTTATAAAAAGGCTTATGTTAATAAAGAGAGTTTGCTTATAGCCCTTATTATCATACTTGCTACTAAAGAGCTTATGCTAGTAAAGTTATAAATTTTTTTTTATTACTTTTTATTTTTTTATTAATATAGTTTTAAAAAACTGCCTTTATTAAAGCCCTAGCTTACTTATGCTATGCTAGGTGCTTACACTAGTAGTTTTTAAACTAAATAAGTTATAATTAAAAGTTAAAAATAGTTACAATAGTGTAGTATAATATAAGTAGATCTATAATAATTTTTTTTAGTATAAAGTTAGCTTTTAGATCTTAAACATAACACTATTTTTAAAGTAGTAATTATTACTTTTACTTTTAAGCTCCTCCTCTATCTTTGTAAGCTTTATATATAGGTGCTAGAGGTTAACTATAGTTATCTAGATAGAGCTGTACTTGCTGTTACCCTTAAGTCTTTTTATTATAAAGTAAATAGACTAGAGAAACTTAATAAAATAATTAACCTCCTTTTACTCTTTTTTAAAGATAGTTTTATAAAGAGTAGTAGCTATTAACACATTAGCGCTTTATTATTTACATAAAAACTTACTAATAAGCTCTTTTAACTTATAGCAACATAAAAGCATAAGATATATGCTATGCTAGTGTACTCTACTGTTCTAAATAAAATTAAAAGTGCTAAATCTCTAAAAAAGATTATTAGCTAAAAGTAAAGCCTAAAAAGTTATAAAGGCTAATTATTATTTATAAGATGCTAGCACTATGTTAATAAAGTTATATAACTTACTTATACCACTCTGCTGTTAGTATAGCTTAAATTAATTATGTAGAGCAGCTTAGGCTAGAGCTTTTTTAAAAGTAGAGACTCTCTAGCTATATATAACTGCCTTAATAATAATTTAAATTATATAGCTAGCGCAGCAGATATAGTGTTTAGTAGTAAAAAGTAAGTAAAGCTTTTTAGCTAAAATTATAATAGTCTTTATATTATTATTTAACATATTATTAGTAATATAGTTATAGAATTTAAATATAATTTTATAGTTTTTAAGCACTTTAATAATCTTTAGCACTTAATTCTCTTTAGTGTAGTCTCTATATAGATTATTAAAGCTAATAAGTGTAACGATTCTACGAATCGTTCCATCTCGGGTCGCTCAGATCCTATCCGAAGGGTCCCTGTATCGGCCCCGACCATGACTTGACCTAGTCCCCTGCAGTTACCCCTATTCCCTTATGTATTTAGTTGCACCTCGCCCCTGTAGCTAGCTTAGTAGTTTTCTAATATCCTTTTATACTAGGCCTATAGGTGTTAATGGCATTCCTAGGTTTAGAGTCCTCACGCACTCCTATATGCCTCTAAGTAGATTCCTACTGCATTTAGACCTATTATTTTGCCTGTGCTATTACATTATATTAGAAAACTTACTTTTACTAGTAATAGCTTTATTAATAATATTACATTAATTATTTATTTAACTATGTCTAACTCTAAAAAGTGTTTAATTTAGTTTAAGTTACTATTTTTATACACTATTATATTAAATTATTTAGTTATTATAGATAAGATCTTAAAAACTTTCTATTAACTAAAGCCTTTAGGTTTAGAACTTCTTATCCCCTATAATTAAAATTGCCTTTAGAAAAGTTATAAAGAGTGCGCTAAAGTAGAAACCTAAAGACTACTAATAACTTATTAGAATTAGAGACAACTACTAATGCCTAACTTTTAACTACTTTTAGACCTTAGTATAAAGCTTATAACACGCTCTAGCTATAGCTAAGGCAAAATGCCTACTACTAAAGCTAAACAACTACTAACCTTAACAGCTAAACCTTTTTTTATAAGACCTAAAGCTAAAAACTTACTAGATTTAAAGTTAAGCTCTAGTAGCATAGCCTTTAAAAACTAAGTTACTTAATTAAAGGCATAAGTTAAACAGCTAACTAGATTAAAAACTATTAGTTTTAATTAACCTTTACTAACTACTAAATTACTCTTAATAATGCCTTAAATTACCTTTGCTACACTAATAGTAAGAGACTTTTTAAGCACTTCTAAGCTTTTTTAAAGCTACCTTACTAAATGCACACTTAAAATTAAGAACTTTACAGATAGTAAAAAACTTATGTTTAAATAATAGTAAGCCTTTATTATAAATAAACTTAATATTAATTTAGATTACTATTAGAGTAAGCGCGCACGCATAGTGTTAGTATAGGGACACACTGCTAGTATTGCAAAGGAATACCTAGAGCCTAGATACCTAGCTAAATTAGATAATTTTTAGTTTAAGAATATAAAAAAAATAATTAAGCTTTTATAAACATACTTTATTACTAGTAATAAAAAGACAGAGGCGCAACAGGCGTTTTAGACTTTAAGAATAAGTAAAGAAGAAGCATTTTTTACCTTTAAAGCTTACTTTATTAGTGCTGCTATTAAAGAGTCTATATTAAAGTTAAAATAGTTTTTTTACTTATAAAAAAAGATACTACTTAGCCTAAAAGTACTAAACTTAGGTTTTAAACACACTTAGAAAAGCTTTTTTAAGTTAATAGTATTCTACCTAACAGCTTATAATATAAAAAAAAGAAACACTTTTGCTATTTTAAAGTAAAATATTAACTATACCTAATAATCTAATGTTAGACCTATTATAGATTAATCTTAGAAAGTTTCTAGTAATACATCTAAGGCAGTATACTATTCTAGTGCACTCTGACCTGCACCTATGTTAGTACCCTAATCTACCCTATCTACCCACTGTTAACCTAGCTAGACACCTGCCTCTAAAAAATAGATAACTTCTAGCAACTATTATAATTATAGTAAACTAGAACATTTTACTAGCAATTGTTTTATCTTTAAAGTATAAGAAATTAAAGTAAAGTAATAGAAATCTAAGAAAAAGTTTATAGATGTAAATAATTATAACCTATATCTTTTTTAAATAAAAAATAAAAACACTTAAGAAAACTTTTTATTCTAAGCTTAAATAAGTATAACTTAGTAAATATTAACTTATTACACTTATTTAAAGAAAAACATTTTTAAGTCCCTACTATTTTATGCTTAAAAGGCATTAAAGTTTAATTAAATTCTTTAGTTAATACTAGCGTATATAGTTTTTTATTTATTAACTTAATAATAGCTAAGTTCTTATTCTAATGCCTTTATATCCTTATCTAATGTTTACTTTTTAAAGTTATAGTTAAGGGCTTTTAAGACTAAATCTAAGTTCCTGTCTACTAGTATATCTGCTTACACATGTAAATTAATAGTAGAAGAATCTAAAACTACCCTTTTATAATTATAAACTTTAGCTTATAAAATTATATTATTAGTATTAAATAGCTATGTTGTTTTAAACTTTAACTAGATATAAAAAAAAATTAAATTATATAGTCTAATAGTTATCCTACTACTTATAAACTTTTACTGCCCTTACTTATGCAACTAAACTAGCCTGCGCGTAATAAAAAAGTAGAGTTAGATATTAGACAACACAACGCACTATAGAAAAAAGACTACATTTAGCAGTTATGCAGCCTAATAATTAACTGCATTAAGGGTTTACTAAGGCTACTAAAATTATACTGCTCTCTTATTACTTACAGTCTAAAGACACTTAAATTATTAATCTGCCTATCTATTAAGAAGTCTAGAATAGGTCTAAAGAACATTTATTTCTTTACTATTACTTTTATCTTAGCAAATGCTTTTTATTTTAACATAAAAAAAAGTTTTTTTTTAACTTTTATTTATAAAATTAAGTGTTTAATTAAAGACAAGTAAGCCTTACTATTAGATAATAAATGTAAAACTAAAGTATTAGTAAACCTTTAATTACTATCTAAATACTGTTAGTACTAAAATGTATTTAGCTACACTACAGCTTACTAATTACTAGCACATTGCCTATATAACTATAAGATTGTCCTTACAGAACCTCTTTCTAATAGTTATAGCCCTTTGTACAAATAGAATGTTAAGGAACTAGAGGTAATAAAGAAGTACATTATAGATAATTTAAAATATAGCTTTATTAAGCAAAGTTAGAGCTCTTTTGCATTTTTTATTTTTTATGTACAGAAACTAAATAGCAACTTATATATCTATATTAATTACTATAAAC